GTTAGGGTTTTAAAGTTTAATTAAATTAAAATAGAAAAGTATAATGCATGTGGTTATCTATAATTAGTAATTATTAAGTATAATTGGTATGGAATAACTTAATAGTGTATGAAGAAGGGGAGTCTTGGTGTAATAGTCAATCAGTCTAAAGCCATCCAAGCAGTGTGCTGTTGGTAGTGGTAGGGCAAATAGGATTTTAGGTTTTACCTATAGCAATATTGAATACCAGTCTAAAGAGGTTATACTTTCATTGTACAGGTCACTGGTTAGGCCACATCTGGAGTATTGTGTTCAGTCTTGGGCTCCTTACTTTAGCAAGGACATTGAATTAATGGAAAGGGTTCAGAGAAGGGTCATTAGAGTGGTGCCTGGGATGAAGGGGTTGTCATATGATGAAAGGCTGAAATCTTAAATTGTTTTCTCTTGAACAAAGAAGAGTTAGGGGGGATCTGATTGAGGTGTTTAAGATTGTAAAGGGAATTGATAGTGTTGATGTATCATCTTTTTTTATTTTTAACAATAAGAACAGTTGGACTAGGGGACATAAATATAAATTTTGGCAAGGTAGGAGTCATCTTCAGTTTTATTTTTCTATCAGGATGGTTCGCCTTTGGAATGGGTTATCTTCAGATGTTGTAGAGGCAGTAAATTTAAGTGAGTTTAAGAAAAAGCTTGATAAGATTATGAATGAAAAGGACTGGGTTTAACAAATATTTATCTTATCTTTTTTAATCGTTTTATTTTAGTTTTGAGTATGGAATAGCCAAGATGGATCAATAGGTTCCATGTTGTCCCAAAATATTATGTTATGTTAAAATTTGAATTATAATCTACAGTTTGATACCAAACTTATTGACATAAATTCATGAAATAGTATTTCAATGAAATTTTGAATGTGAGTCAACAAACACAATGACATGGCCTTTCACCCATGACCTGTCTGGAAAGGGTTAATATGTTCCATTACTAATAGATTATTTTATAGATTATAATGATAATATGCAATCTGCTGAAAAAAAACTAAACAATTTTTTATTTGAATATCTTTATGAACAAGAAGATTAATCTTGTGGTTTGCTTGTTATAAAACAAGTCTCGAGTGCATTACAGTGTTTGGTAGATATGGCTACAATGATAGTGTTTTTAAGTAGTAAAACTGCCTGTATTGTTGGTAATTTGTTATTATTGACAATTCTTGTTTTTACATACCTGGAATATACCAGTAATTGCACTAAAGAGTTAGAATATAATTGTAACTTATAGTATTTTAGCTATTAGAAGGAATAAAAAACTTCAATAAAATAATGTTAGTTATCCACCTCAGTCCATTTTTACATAAATCAGACATTTAATGAACCATAATTGACAGATAGAAGTTGTCTGCTTTTTTGTGTACAGTTTTCTACCTTGTCCAAGAATTTGAGCCATTGTACCATTAGGTTGAAAACAGTTCCATATTCTGTTAACAATAGGCACTTATTGCCCATTTATAGCAGTTTGTTCAGACTGGCTGGCTTCATTTGATGCTCCAGCTGTTTTAAAACATCCATATTTTCTTGGAGGTCTAGCTGTGGCTCCTGGATGCTTTGGAGTAGTTTAAATGTTGTGGTTTACTTCAAGGGGATAAGTTAGAACATTATCTACAGCACTGGCTAAATGACTAATCAGTTGCACTTCAGTTCCCATGTCTGATCATCAAATGCCTGAGTTAGATAACTGCTCCACGAACTGAGGGGTAAATTACATTTTTTAATAACAGTGGTTTTACTTTGATATAGCTGTATTATTACAAATTTCAATT